CCAACTATATAACATCTACCTTGAGTAGAGATACCATGGGTATGTATACACAGTTGAAATGCACATGTATGCACTATCTAACTACAACATTGCCATTGGCCAGCGATGACCGACTACTCCGTTTTATGGTTATTGATATTTCTCATTTTCCAAATTGGATCCGGTGTCAAAGAAGACACGATGGCATAAAATGGCAGTACCGTGTTCAGTTATTACTATGAATGGTAGCTTACCTGAAATGCATTAAATATGGTGAATAAATACTGGAAGACAACTAGCTCATCGTTTAGAGCAAAAATTCCAAATATCCACGTCAGTCCAAGTATAGGCAATAATATAGCGGTAGCTTTGGCATTATTTCTGTGAATATGGAATAAATACTGGGGTTAAAGATAACAAAAGACCTACATTCGAAAATACAATATAGAAACAATTAGTTTTCAGAATTCTATTAAAAATTCATACCACGTGTTCGAATAAGATAACAATCGTTATTTTATCGTAATAATGAAATCATTAATACGTTGATGCAATTTATCTACGACTTCACTTACTTCAAATTCGTCAGTTTGTTGCTTTTATCCACGTTCTTTGACTGTACTGATATAATCTCAAGCATAACACGTGCAAGTAAATATATATTTATAACTATTATTCCAAGAACTGGGCCAAGGAATGCCCAGGTGAGATTATGTTCTGAAGACAGCCAGCAACTGCAAGAAAACATATAGAATATGATTATAGACTGAGATTTAACACGACAACTTTGTTCCAATGAATTTCAAATGATCTATGTATGTGAAGTGTGCGATTTTATTTATTATTGCAAACAGGGCATTTTAAATAATGTTTCTAACAGTATAATCGTGGGATTTGTTCCGCTATGAAACATTATTACTCGCTCCGTTATTCGAGACATGATACACACGGTGGTGTGATCATTCAATACCACGTAAAAACGTGTTGATCAGCTTACAAATGCTAGGAGCGTGTGAAGCTGTGCGTATTACTCTTGCCCCTAGATTTCCAAGGCGGAATTTCTTATCCTGAAAACAACAAGCTGATCTATGATTGGATACCTAATCATGCATAATCTTTGCATTGGCACTTGATTGGTTGGCACAACAATGCTGTAACTATGTATCCCAAACTAGAATATTGTAAAACCATTGTTTTTCACTGAAATTTAATTTCAATGTTTTGAGCATATTCACTGTGTTTTAATTTCACGAATTTGTCAAGGAAACAATGAGTTTTAATGTTTATTTTACATGTTCACGTAGATTTAATTTAGCGGATTTTACTTATCAGCGAAAATAGGGAAATTAAAGCCCAGCGAATAATTAACGCATTTGCAGTATCTGAAAACTAAAGGCTGTACTAATTGTTGTTTACCAAACCAAAAATAATCTTTTACATTTGGCGAAGTTGTGACAATTTGCACTATGTCTATGTTTTGAATATTAAAGCCTTGTCCCGTTTATTGCGAAAACATTATTAATGAACAAATCATTGTATTGACTTATTAATCAATAATACTACATACCTATCAAAATTGTACTAGATAAATAACATTGGCACGCGGTGGTTAGGTCATTGGATAACTAATACATCTTTACCTTGACCAATATTATTTATTGAATCAATTAATTATTGAGTTCCATCAGAATTAGGCGATTGGTTTTTGAAGTGTCCGTGAAAAACGTACATCAACAATAGCAACATATAATCTTACTGTGTGATCAAATGCATGACTTACTATAGTTCAGTACCGTATCCTTGTGGTCTTGCGGCAGCCGATACGCCAACAAAAATAGCAGGACACACTGCATGAAAGTAATAAGGTAAGTGTTCTACATTAATATTATCATACACCTTGCTTACAGTCATGTTAAACTCTAAAACAGATCACTTATGTATCCATATATTTTCTGTCAAAGTTGATCAATACATTTTCCCGTTAATAGTTTTTGACCTCAGCTCCACGGTTCTCTACGAACTTTAGCCTTCTAGTCATGAAGCCCAAATTTTCACGCTTTATAGATAATGAAACATAGTTTCATGTACTACATTGAATGCAAAATAAAAGAACAGTTTGTCCTATATTAATATACAGGAGATAATGTTAAAGCGGGGGAGTCGTCACCTGCGCATGCGTCAGATAGCCATAGAGTGTCATTGTTTATAAACAAGCGTCTACGTATGAACCATTGCGTTTTTAGCGTGTGTTGTTATCGTCTCTTGCGCAGATGACGACCCTCCTGCTTAAACTACACGAGCGTCAAATTGTAATAAAGCAAACCATACACAATCCCAGTAGGCAGCGCCCTCTAGCGACGGAGCGTTTCTGCAACGTAAAACTACGTAATGTGAAAGCAAATCGCAAACTTTGTATATTTGTGTAATTGTCTGTCAATTACGTATACATTACAGCAAATCTGTGCACATAAAAAATCAAAGAAAGCTTAGAAAGAACTCCCGTGTGCTGAGAGTATTGAAGACACATTAAAAATTAATTCAAAATTACTTGTACATGAGATATTGATAGAAAAGCTGAAAACTAATTATGTACATCAGGTAACTAATATGAACAGAACAGAACAAAAAAATTATGAATTATTATGCTAATTATTGAAATGTGATGATTACTACTTGAAATATCAAAAGCTGAAAATTAATTAATTATGCAAA